GACAGAAAAAGACTCACCAGGCAGGTAGTCCATTTCTAAATGTATTTTGCTTAAACATATAGCAGCAGCCTTAAGTACAGATTGAGGTACCAAGCATATAGTAGCGCATTAAAATCCCAGCAAATGATCACAGTAAAGCTAGAATGCTGTCAAAATATAGTAAAATACTGCTGTATAAAAGAATTTTCCAGTGCAATAACACTGAATGAAAAGAGAGTCATGAAGCCTTTGGGATATATATTTTATTTTTCCATTGAATTTGGCTCCTTTCAGAACATAAACAAAGGGTCCACAGTGCTGCCTGGCTCTCCCCTGCTTCTTCAAGAAAAAAGTTCCTGTTGATCGCTTTCATGTGCAGTGTACTTGTTGACCTTTTTCATTAAGAAGAGGTTTGTGTTTTCACACAAACACTGCAGAAGAAATTGCCAAGGATCCAGAGGATGTAGGCTTCATATAAACCTGCTGTAGGCAGTAAATGAAGAATCTCATTCACTTCAGTGTTGATCAGGCTTTTATAGGGCAAATCCTGACCATGCTAAGAGTCAGTGACTGGAGAAGCTGCTCCTGGCCTCCAGAGCCAGAATTCACCCCAGAAATCTGCTGGGACTCCTGCATGGAAGTAAGCCCTTTCCACTTCTGATGTTAAAAACCTGTAGCATCATTGTCAATCATGGTTAAAATTACCTCCAGTTTTGTCCCTTGGAACCTGAAGGTGCTCAACTTTGCGATATCTGCCCACTTTTTCCATTTGCAGCTGTGGAGGGCAAAATAAACAACGCAAAAGCTAGGGAAACCCCAGTTTCTCTTTCTTCTTGAAACTGTCAGAAAACGTCCCAAATCGAGCTGAAAATTAGAGAGACGTATTTCAAGATTACTGGAAGGACTTAAGTGATCAAATCTTGCTAACGATCAAATCTTGCTTGTTGATGGACACTTTGCATGTAAATCTGTGGAGAAGGAATTAATCCCATCCCCTTCCCAGTCCAACATATTTGCCCTGTGGTGATCTCTCCCTGCGACTACAGAAAGGAAGCCACTAGGCAAGGCTGACCTTGAGTGACATCCAACTTCCTCTTGGACTTGTTTTGAATACTGTTACTCAGATGCTCATGCAGGACCTGATATTAAAATGAGCGTCTCCCAGGGGCTGGGCGAATTCACCTCTGTTTCCTCAAAAAGTTAAGTCATTTGGATAAAACACAAGCAGAAATCCTTACAAATAATTTGTCCGGATGCAGCAGGGCTGCAGAGCTTTGGCCAGGCTGTGTAGGGGAAGTGGGTTTTGCTGTGACCCTGATCCGAAGGCCACTGCTGCCAACTTGCTCAGCACGCCGTGCCTTTTGTGCCTTGCTCTGTGCGAGCTTTTAGTCTCTGTGTCCTCCCGTGACCATGAAAATCACTTTAAAATTGAAGAACAAATGCCAAAAATATATAGTGCCATAAACTAAACCAAAACCACAATAAACAAAGTAGGCCCCAAACTAATAAGTTGCAAAGCTCTGTCTGTGTGGGAGGGACGGATAATTGAGGGCCGAATGAGGATTTTGAACTCACAATGGATCCTTGCGGTGTTGTTTCTCTTTCAAGGAGCATGTGAGAGGTGCCAGCCTTCCAACGAAACACTAAACATTTAAAAATAACAACCCCACTCATTTGGTGGCTGGGTTTGAAAGAACAAACATCAGTCCATTGTCTGGCTTCTGCCGTCATCTTGTGCACACAGAAAGCCAAAGACTCCAAGTAATTTTGTGGCCTCAGGCATCAACAATAAACAATGTATATTTGATGTGTTGGCCTAATTTCTGTCCACTAAATCTGCCATTTTAAAGCTATTTCCATGCCTTTTTTTTTTTTTTTTTTTTATGTTCAAATCTTTTGTCCCCAAAACCTCCATTTTAAAGGTTTTTTCCATGCCTTTTTTTTTTTTTTTTTGTTATGTTCAAATCTTTATATGCCCTGCAATCTCTTTTTGTACCTTTCTCAAGTCTTACAGTTTCATGTTTAGGATGCTGCTACTGAGGCAGAGGTGACCAAAGTGTTCTTTTACACCAAGAGATCATTGTAGACATGATTCTTGCAGAAACTTGCAATTCCAGTGTCGTGAACTCCTTGCCTGTTGCTACATTTTCTAATTAAATTATCAACTTTTGGGGAAAAAGTCCTGAAAGCAAGGGAAAGGAAACATAATTATCCTTGCAGTGGAGACAAAGAATACTTACTGCATGTGGTTTCCAAAGTTTTTCACCAGACTTCTGCTATGAAAATTATTGTCCAGATGGGAGGCTGTAAACCTATTTTTGAAGATCAGTATGTTTCAAGAAGGACTATTGTACTTCACATAATTGCTTTACCCTTTCTCATATGATTTATAAGATCTTCCGACGCTTGTGGTACCAACATTTGTTTGTGATTTTTATTGCTCTCAGAGAAGTCACTGATTCAATGACAGACCTACTCTTTGGTCTCTGCAAAACTGTATTTTCAGAGGATTAACTGACCCCTTTTTCCTCTCCATTCCTCCAACCTCCTGTCCCCAGGGCTTTATGTTGGATCCCAGGCTCAACACAACCAATGAGCCAACTCTTTGCAGAAGCAAGAGTAATATACAGTCTAAGGAAGCGTTATACATAATGTAGTAATTTATTAAAGGAAGAAGCTTGTGATGAATGTAAAGGAAATATTTCAGTGCTGCTCCACGATGAAGGAATGACAGGTAAAAACTCCTCAGCAACAATGATAAAAAAGCTGTAATGTACAAAGCAAACTGTTGAGTGTGATTTACCATTTCATTTTCAAGCAGTGTTTTACAATAGCGGTACTCTGCCAGTACCAACAGCACTTGCCGCAAGGGCAAGTGCCAGAGAGCCGAGGCGCTTGCTTTCTTCTCAGATTACATAGGCAACACGTGAGGAGAGCCGGCCGCGTACACATAAAGGGTGTAAGCCACAAAATCTGAAAAGCTTTGAAAGAACTAGCTGAGCCAGTCCACTGAGAAGCACTGCGGGGGCTAGACTGGGGGGGTGAAACCTTTAGCGAGAAACAACCCCAGGAAGCAAACCGAAATGCTGTGGGGCAGAGGGGGGAGCTGAACCGAGGTGCCCCACAGCCTGGGTGAGGCTGCGGCTCGCCCAGCTGGTGGATGGAGCCCCAGCAGTTCCACCCAACTGGTTTGATCAGACCTACTCTGAATATGCCTATTAATTCAGGATCCCCGTGTGCCACGGGGAAGTGAACAAAGTTAGCACGTGAACCCAGAAAAGGCCTTGGTCAAGAGAGCATCATTGCTCTGCAGAGCTTGGCTAAGCCTGGACCGAGGGCCTGGGCAGATCTGTGCCAAGACAGCTGCGGCAGCAGTTAAACAGCCGTGTTTTAAGGTATCATTGCTCTCCATCCTACCCCCTCTCTGCTCCGTCCAGTGGACACTCTGCCGCAGACCCTCCTCTGCAGGGGAGCACGTGGAATTGTTTCTGGAAGCTCCACAGGTGCTCCAATGGACAGTCGGAGGGGAGGCTGTTAGCAGCTGCAGGGGGGCTGTTGGGGCTTTGAACCCAAAGGTACCCTAACATCCCCTTAATCTGAAAACATTTAAGCACGTTATTCCCACTGAATTTAACGTGATTACTCTCATGCCCGAATTTAAAGCACTTCAGGATCAGAGCCTTTCTTCGTCTTGCATGAGCCGGCTGTGACAGAGCAAGGCTTTGAACCTCTTTCTTTTGAAATTGAGTTGTGCTGTCTTAACCACAAGACCACAGGTATTTTGTGAGGCTGCTCATTAATGTTTGCTGCCTGTTTTAAGATCTGAAGATTTGAGAATGCTATAGAAGATACTACAACAGTAGCTTGCTTTCCAGCTTTCTAGACAAACTGTTGCTAAAGCTAATGGGGTCTGTGATTCCTGATTAGGTTGACTTTCTTGGCTGCAGTAACCAGTTGTGATACTGACGCCAATTCTACTTAAAACATTTAAATACACAACAACTAGTGAAAAAACAAAAGAAAAAAAATCAAACCTTCTGCTCAGATTTTAGGTATTATTTTTAAAGCTAAACAAATATTCAAATAATTTGTTTATTTCCTATTGCTCTTTTCCCCTTCCAAAAAGTAACTTCTGTTTGCAAGCAAAGCTCTAGCAGGTAGAGTTAATGCACCTTTCCTACATTTCAGGGTCTGCAGACAAATTTAGGCTATTAAGAAAAATGGCCGAACTAAAATACTTGCATATCCAACACCCTTTAAAAAGAAGAAGCAAGAGGAAGACTGCAAAAGAGAACAAGAAATTCTGTCTTCTTTTGAAGGCCATACAGCTTTTCAAAAAGCCTGTTTCTAGCTGTTGCCTGGGCATGGAGACCCAGACTGAGCCAGCCTGGCTGTAAATCCCTTTGGCTGTTGTTTCCTGATGTTTGAAGACTGAATTAAGGGGCAGGGGAGGAGTTGGAGTGATTTAAGCAGAACATAGGCTTCTTGCACCAGGGTCTTTAAATACAGGAGAAAAAGGACTATCAGCATGCTGCATGCAGGAATAGCTCTGGTTTCCATCAGTAAATTCATATCTCTTAGACCTTGTTCCAAGCAAGTTTCCAGACAAACGTGGGGCAGGGTGCATTGCTGCCCTCTCTGATGCAATGGTCTTCCCCGCTTTGGCCCACAAGTCCTCCTTCAGAGGAGGAGGAGGAGGTTTCCACCACCTGCGTGCGGCTTCAGTGGTGTTGCGGCCATCCCGCCTGCTCTGGCGACCTTCTCCCCTGCACCTCCTTGGCCTGGAGCAGCATGGCAACGCGGCCTCCTCCGCTGCCCCAGTGCCAGGGGCTCGGCCGCGCCGCGCCTGCCTCGCCGTGGGGGTACGG